GAATAACTCCTTTTTTAAGCTCTTTTATTTTGTTTTGTTTTGTTTTAACGAGTGATGATTCTTTGAGTGTTGGTTCTAGGCTGTTGGTATTTCATTATTAAAGAAGACTTGTTCCCATCAGTGGGACAGGTCACTTTGGGAAAATGTTTGCTATTAACACCTTAAATTTTGCAGACTTTGAGAACTGATAAAAGAGGGTACAAATACTTCTTCCATTTTCATATCCTTATGAAGATATCTGATTTCAGTGTACTTATTTGTTAAAATGGAGAACTTATTTTCCTTAAGGCTAAATTCTAGTAACAATGAATGTTAAGTGACTTAATTCAATGTGAAAATCCTGGTTCAATATTCATATAAATGATAATTCAGGCTCTATGTTTTGTTAGATAGACATTACTTCTCAGTTTGCTGAGTGACTGCTTTGACCTACTGAACTTTTTTTTTTTTTTTTTTTTTCCATCAAAAGTTGTTTGTGGATCTTAATGATGAAGAATATTTTAAAATGTATTTTTAAATGGAAGTTTTTTAATGGGATAGTATGGGCAGCTAGTAGCTCATTGTTAGTGGGTTTCTGATCATCTTATTAGTGTCTTGTTCCTTTTCCTGCACAGTATAATTGCTTCAAATGTAACATAAATCAAAACTGTTGTCTATTTATATTATTGCAGTGCAGTCATTACCTGATTTTACTGATTTAGAGCAGTACTATGTAAAAGTAGCTGTCTACAACAGCTTTGAAAAAAGAACGCTTGGAGAAGTAGTAGTTCTAGATTCATAATTTTTGTTTCAGCAAAATTTATTTTGTAAAATATTTCACTAAGAATGTTTAGTAATTGACATTTTTCTTATTTATTATATCTTTTCAATCCAACTTAGTCTTTTATGTATACTAATAAATTTGTTTTTATTTTTTAATTTATTCATTTGCATAGTTCTTTAGTAATAGTAGAAAGTACCAACTCTGCTGCAAAATGTTTATTTCAGTCCCTCCTCCATTCTATTTGATTTTACTGTTTTCAGACCCACTTTCAGTTAAGTTGTAGGAAGAATGATTTTGAATAATATGGTCGTGATGTCAAAACAGAGCAAATTATATGCTGCTGCCATCTGGAATAGTGAATATAAAAGCTTTATTTACACTGTTCTTTGAAATAATAAACTTTATTGCAGCAGTTTATCTTCAGTATCTATAGCGTATTCTGGGAATACTCCATGTGTGCCTTTTTAATTCTACGAGCTATAGAATGACAAAAATTTGCCAGTGGCAAAGCCATCATTGAATCTTGAAATAGATTTTTTTCTTCCTGAATAGAATGGAGAATAACCTTCCATTTCCACAAAAAGAATAATTGGTTCACATGGGGCCATGTTTCTTTTTATGAGACACAATGAAATAATTTAAGTATATATCTTAGTAAGGCAAATTACACAGATTAAACTGCAGGTTAATTCCAGGTCAGTCTATAGTGCAAACAGCTAATGTGGAAGAAAATACTCAACGTTTATGTTTCATATTGGCTATCCAGTCTTGGAATTTGCTGCTTCTACCTCTATACAACATAATCCACATCTAATGTCAACAAACTGTGTTTTGGGTACTTCACTTTTGCACTTAATATCAATAACATAGTAATTTTGTTTTAATGTTCTATATATGAGAAATTTATTATTTCTTTCTTGTTAAATCACGATGTTGATTGTTAAAAAGGCAAGAAAGCTTCAAATCATCATCTCTTAAGAGTTCATACAATAACCAGTCTTTGAAATTGCCTATGATGTTGTTCAGATCAAATATTTGGGAGCAAATAACTTTTGAAGAGCTCTTTTGGAAGTGATACTAGCATAGGACTTAAGGTATTTTCTTAATATCAGTAATGGAACTCAGTGTTTAATTGGGACTCACGCTGTTACAGCATCTAACAAATTCAGAGAGTGTACTCTATTTCTAAATCTTTGTGTCTGTCATCCTAACCAAAATGTCTGTTATATGTACTATTCACTAACCACAAGGACAGAAAAATCTGCCCTTTAATGGCCTCTCAAACTGACTACCAAATGGCTTTGAGAAGGTCAAGTCTGATTTAAATTGTTGGTGCATTGAAAGCTAGTTCACTAGTACTGAACATTAATATGAAACATTGGTAAATAGTGTAATTTAGAGCTCAGGCAGCATGTTAATAAGCAGCAAAAAAAAAAAAAAAAAAAATCTTTTCACCTTGTCTACCTTATGTATATAGGCCTACTAATGTACCAAAAATTTTTAATGGTTATTTTTCTCCTACAGAAAGTTAGAGGCAGTTCCTTAATAAACACTGCTCGGATCTGTTGCACAATGTGTTTGATGAGTTGTCAAACTTGCTATCATCAAAATGTGAAGACAGTTTTGTCTTTACAAATCACTAGTACTCTTAGAGACAAAAAATAAAAAATAATAAATAAATAAATAAATAAATAACATCTTAAAAACTAAATCCTCTGTGATCAGCACTCAAATTAGAAATATCATTATTTTCTCAGTCCATTTTATGTTGAATGTATGGTTTTATTGCCAAATACTAAAAACCAGATTGGACACAACTGTCAAAAATATAACAGTTACGGCTATTTGAGTCCACTATATTATGATGTTTCTCATGAAAATTCAATGAAGAACACTTATTCAAAGAGATCCACTAAGTGGGTCACCTTGTCATAGAATGGTATCAAGTTTGTCAAGCAGAAGCATGAAACCATGCTGACTGGACCTGATCTCCTGGTTGACCTTGAATTGATCTGTGATAGCACTTGAGGTTATCCAGTCCATAACCTTCCCTGGCAGTGATGTGAGATTGATAGGTCTGTAGCTACCAGGATCATCTTTCCAGCCCTTTTTGATGTCACATTTGCCTTGTACCTTTTGATAATTTTAGTACTGGGAGATCCCCAGTTAGGGGAATGAAGGATGATTGAGAGTGGCTTGGCAACCACATCTGCCAACTCCCTCAAATTTCAGGGTGCAGTCCATCTGGCTCCATGAACTTGTGTCCAGCTTTTGAAGCAGATCCAAAACCATTACCTCATGGATTTTGCTGGCCCTATTCTGTTCCCCATGCCTATCTTCCAGCAAAAGTGGCTGCATGCCCAGGGAACAACTAATCTTCTTATTAAAGACTAAGGCAAAGAAGGCATTAAGTACCACAGCCTTATCCTGATCCTTGGTCACTGTGTTCCCCTCTGTGTCCAATGTATTTATATAAATATTTGTGGGAGAATTGTTTTTTACTAGACTATGGCAGTTTCCATATTAATTTGTGTTGAAAGCAGTTAAAGAACCTGTGTGTGACATCAAACCTCAGGGACCACAAAGATTGTAGAATATACTTGCTTCCTATACATTTCTTCAGAAAAGAGTCTACACTTTCATAAAACTGTTTAAAAAATTACAGATTCCATGCAGGGAATTGACATGGTACAGTTTCTCTAAGTTAATTTTATCCCTTAATCAATTGTAGGTCAATGGACACCATTCAAGACATTAAATAAGATATGCGGTTTAGAGTTAGTACTGATCCTCATTCCTTGATTTTTATTTATTTATTTTTTTTTTAAGCCTGTCCTCTTTAAACTGAAATGATAACAATTATTTTGCAATAAACATATATTTGCATATTGAATGGAAGAAAAGATGACGATGATGCAAATAAAATAAATTACTTTACTTATTCTAACCTAATTTCCAAAGGATAGTCTGATTCCACTGTGTTTCCAGTATTACATGCTAGGGCTTATCATCTTGAAGAGTTTAATTGCTCTTGTTCAGTTTTTCTTAATATTTCACTATTGATTGGCTAAGAATTTAGGATCATGTTTGAGTGCTTTGACTGAAACAATTCTATCCATTCATGATCATTATGTTTCCTGTCGGTTTAACTTTATTATTTATATAGTTCCAATATTTAGAGTTTCTCAGCCTTATGAAATCTTTCAATGCATTAATCCTCTAGTATTTGTCCATAGCAGTAAAATGACATCCATCTCACATCTACATAACTTAAGAAAGAGGTCATTAAAAGTTAAGACCAACAGAACATAAGTAATTACTTTAAAAGTATGGAGTTTGTAATCGTTAATATGGTATTATGTTTTAGATTTGGGATCAGAATAATATTGATAATACACTAATGTTTTAGATGTTGTTAATTAGTGCTTGCTGAAAATTCATGGTATTTTCAGTTTCTCATGCTGCTATGCCAGTGAACAGGCTGGGGAGGACCTAATTAAAAAAATAAAGCTGAGGAGTACTAAGGGGACTGACAGTACTCAGAGGCTGGCAGGACATTGGTCAGCAAGAAAAACTTTGTATTCTATCATTATTATTATTTCTCTTCCTTCTCTACCCTATTAAGTTGTCTTAATATCAACAAAATGAGTTTTGCTTTTTTTTTTTTTTTTTTTTTTTTTTTTTCTTTTATTCTTTCCCTGTCTCACTCTGTAGAGGAGTGAACAAACTGTAGCGCAGTGCTTAGTTGCCTGCCAGGTTAAACTACAACAAGCACAAGAGCTAATCTGGGTCTTCTAAAACCCCAGCCAAATCCCACACTGATTTTTCACACTTGCTTATGTATTTGTCTTATATAAAAAAGATTTTGTTGTTGTTGCTCATAAGCATGCTAGTTCAATATTTCAGATAAAATAATAAGGATTCTCATAATCAGAGGAATGTTAGTGCTAGAAAGTAACATTGTGGACATCTGGTTTATGAACTGCATACAGGATCTAAGGCAATTACATATACTTTATGGGTATAATGTAGCCATTAATTTACGAACTTTCTACTCTGCATCCACATTTTGATCGCTGTAAGTTAAAAAAAATATATATTGCCTGAGTTGTTTTTGTTCTTCATCAATTTCTTGCAGTCAGGGGAAGGTTACACAATAGCTAGGCTGGTGATGGGACTGACTTGAGTTCCTACATAGCTAATGTGAAATCCTTTACATTATACATTATTTTTGCAGAGGACCAAATTCCCCGTGGTTTCCCCACTATTGATATGGGTCCCCAGCTGAAGGTGGTCGAACGAACTCGTACAGCTACCATGTTATGTGCAGCCAGTGGCAACCCTGATCCTGAAATAACTTGGTTCAAAGATTTCTTACCTGTTGACACAAGCAACAACAATGGCCGCATCAAGCAATTACGATCAGGTAGGGTCTTGTTACTGTTTCCACTAATGTGAAGAGTTGTTCTCTCTCACCTTTTCTTTCTTTTCTTTCTCTTCCTTATTATTTTACTTTTTTTATAGGTAATAATTTATCTTCCTCTTCTCTTTTCTATGTTATTGAGTGTGTTGTCCATGTCTGTGATGTTGTCATAGCCTTTTCTAGAGTCTATCTCTGTGTTTTGCAGCTTCTGTTTACTCCACATTGCTCACTGCTGTGACTGTACTTTTTGATAATTTTTTTCTTTACTGCTTTTTGCAGTACTTGATGGATCCATTTTCTCCTCTTTCTTTCTTCTTTCCTTTTTCTGTTTTTTTTTTTAATAAATTTATTTCAACATTGGACTTCATTCAGAAATTGCAAGGAGTACCAATGGTTATATTCATCAAAATCAAAACCTGCATTAGACACTTCAATTAAAATGTAAAATGTGTTTTGTACTGTCTTTTCCACATTTGAATCCACCAAAGATTAGCCAGTTTGAACACATCTTCCTTCCTCTCAGAAATACATTAAACACAGTACTTTTTCCCATGCACAACTATGCCTTACAAGAAAACCTAATTAAAAAAAATAATAATAATAAAAAAAAACGGGTAACTTATGGAATGAAGGTTTTTTACTGGCTGAGCGTTTTTCCTACACATTTAGCCACAGTAGTGTGCGCCCACACTGAAGTTTTATGAATCCGACATTTTCTGGATCTACAGAAGTCTGCTTTTGGTGTAGAATCCAGCTTATGCTGCTCTCTCTCTTTGCCCCTTTCACCCCCCCCAGCAGTCCTTTCACTCTTCTCCCACCCTAGTTTATTATTTTGTTCTCTTTAAATTAAAAAAAAAATAATAATAATCTTCTAAATTTCTAAAGTTTAAAGCTTATCCCTAAATAATATAATTGGGATATATTGAGCTTTTTTCTTTGGCAGTTGTAGTCGATATCATTGTAGAATCTAAGTTGTTTAATCACATGTCTTCCCAGAATTCTCAGCTTTTGACCTGTCCTGTGATGTTAAACCGTCTTGTTAACTGACTCTTTGCTTGTTGTCAGCAGAACTGTGTAAAGTAGCCTTCTGTTAATGTAAATTAAGAATTATTTTTTCACATGTGACATAGATGATTTAGTATATAAAGTTTTAACTGAAAACTTTGTACCAAATTATAAGGAATATAATAATATTTTTATGCTGTCTTTCTTCTCTCCGTATTTAAATCTCCAGAATCTATTGGTAAGTGCTTAGTTCTGAAGCGCACTTCACCCCCACTAATTTCCATATTCAGAATATTATGATTATGATTATGATTATGATTATGATTATATTATGATTACTATTATTATTCTTAAAATGCATGGCATGCATTTTACTAACAGTCAGTGTAGTCACCAGATCCCTATAGTGGCGCACACGCACACCTCCACAGAAATGTTGTCTTATCAGTTATAGAAACACCTAGAAGAACCAGTACACATGTATCACATAGCTGTAGAACAGTAAATGCCATAATACAACCTAAATTAAAGTGTTTGTTTTGAGATAATCTTCAGTGTGTCCTCTCTTTTTATATATATATAGATTTTATATATATATATATATATATATATATATATATATATATTTAAATAGAATATCCAAGGTTTTCCTAAACTATGTCATAAGTACAGTATTGTAAATTTTACTTTAAGTATTTGAGGCATATTCAATATATTTCTAACCCTATTTAACCAAACAGCTAAGAACTCATAGGCTACTTTGAGAATGACAATGAAACCCATTGTAGTCTTCACCCTTTGTGGTATGATGCAACTTGCTTTTATAACCTGATAGTAGTATCTAATATGCTTTAGTAGTATCTAATACTGTTTTAACAGTATAGTAATTCAAGTTTCTCTTAAGACCTTATTTAATTCTGTAAATCTAATTTGATTCTTCTTCCAAAGCCCTAGCCTCCTTCTTCTCGTACTAATGCTTCTTCTTTCTAATCTTATTTGCATTCATATTATCCACCCAGGTGGTACACCAATAAGAGGTAAGAGTGCTGAACTAACGTTCACAGAATGATCTTACTCATTCTTTCTGTCCTTTCATCCGTCTCATCTTTGTCCTGTTTTTTCTTTTTTTTTTTTTTTTCCTTTGTCCTGTTTGGTTATGATCAGTGACTCTCATATTGTGAACTTTCTTTCTGAACACTCCCTTATCCTTTCCCTTTTTTGTTTGATCATTAAATAAATAAGTAAATAAATCTCTATATAATTTGATTTGTGATATGCTTCAAAGAAAGCATATCCAGGTCTTCTGGCCATAGCCCAGTCACAGCGTTCCATTTGTCCCTCTCTTTTTTTTTTGTTTTTTGTTTTTTCTTCTTCTTCTTCTTCTTTTTCTTCTTCTTCTTTTTCTTCTTCCTTTTT